TGGTACACCATCCGATGTGCAGCCTATACGACTATGAGACCAAAAGGACTAGATGGTGCCCAGCTACCACTGTCAAGCACTTGGGAGGGGATCTATGTAGGAGATCCTGGATAGAAAGGGAGAACAATGTGGAACAAAACTCAAAATCATTTGGAGAAAAAAAAAGGCAGGGGGGGACCAGGTTTGCTAGTGTTATAGAGCCTGGTCGAACCACTGAGGCTATGGTCCCTAGCTGCCCTTCGGGTCTAGAATTGGACCCACACCTATGGCTTCCAGCCAAACAAAAGACAGGCTTATGTGTTGAACATTTACCTGAGGTAGATATACTCCTTGGAGAGAACAATCATGGGAGACGAAAGGGCTGCTTATGCACAGGGAAACAGCTCAGGGGGCAGAAGGGCATGGAGGGATAGACATTGGGAAGAGGTAATTATCGGGAGGAAGTGGGAGTGGAGCTGTTGCATTGTGGTAGATTGTGGTCAATGTCATGAGACAAAGTGTATGTGAACTGCCGTATAGAAAGTGAATTTGCTCTGTAAATTTTCACCCAAATCACAATTAAAAAAAAAAAAAAAAAAGTGAGAGCCAGGACAAGAACAGTTATATGCACACCCATGTTCATTGCAGCAATATTTACAATAGCCAAAAATGGAAACAACCTAGGTGCCCATGAACAGAAAAAATGTGTAACCAAACCATAGTACATACACACAATGGAATACTATGCAACCCTAAGTAATAACGTAGAATCTGCAAAACACCGCATAACATAGATGAACTTGAAGGACATGTTGAGTGAAATAAGTTGATCACAGAAGGACAAATACTGTATTGGTCCATTAATTAGTCTTATAAAAATTCAAGGAAAGGTTTATATATGGAAGGAAATTTTCTTTCTTGGTTACCAGGGATGAGAGAGGAGGGGAGGGAACACTTTTAGATAGGTCGAGACAAGTATTGATTTGGGTGAAGAGAAGGGCAGTGTACCAAATGTGAGTGACCAGCACAGTGGCATTAAGGAAGAGAAAGAGATAGAGAGGTTCATAGGAGGTACAGACAACAGAGATAAACCCTTTTGCACATACAGTACTGTCAATGAAGGCAAACATGAATCTATAGGTGGATAGATGGGTGACAGGCTGAAAGATTAGGATTTCTATACAGGGGTGAGTGTGCCCATGACCGTGTATAGGGTTGGTAGACAGTTTCTACAAGTGTATTTGTGTAGTCTGTAAGAATTCCTAGGTATATAGTAGGGCTGACAAGGGACAAGGTTATAGCCACTTCTTGGCCACAGCCAGCTACCCAGAGGGAGTGAATAGTTGGAACTTTGGGCTCAGGACTATAGTCACAGGCAACATCAAGCTCAATTGGCATAACATACTACCCAAAAACATTACGAGTAGTGACTGGGAGCGTAAAAGCTTGGAAGTGGCCATAGAGATAGAACGATGGATCTCTCCTCATCCAGAGCAAAGAAGAATGAATAAAACCAGAGAAGTATGGAAACAATTAGTCTAAGGGACTAGTACACCATGTGATCCTCAGTCTTTATGGCTATGAGACCAGAAGAGCTAGATGGTGCCTGGGTACCAATGTCAACCACTCAGAGGGGGATCTATGTAGGAAATCTTGATTAGAGTAGGAGAAGAATGTGGAACAAAACTCTAAATTATGGGGGAAAAAAAAGAGCGGTGGGGTTTGCTGATCTGATAAAGCCTGATGGAACCACTGAGACTGTGGCCTCTAGCTGCCCTTCACCTCTGGAATCGAACCCACTCCTTTGGCTTTCAGCCAAACAAAAGAGCTATATGAGGTGAACATTTACATTAGGTAGATACAGTCCTTGGAGAGATCAATCATGGAGAATAGAAGGGCTATGTATGCACAGGGAGACAGCTCAGGGGGCAGGAGTGCATGAGAGGGATGGACACAGGGAAGAGATAACTATGGGGAGGAAGTGGGAGGGGAGCTGTTGCCTTGTGGGAAATTGCAGTCAGTGTCGTGAGACAAAGTATATGTGAGCAGTTGTATGAAAAGTTAATTTTCTCTGTAAACTTTCACCTGAATCACAATAAAAATGAAAAGTAATAATTAAAAAAAAAAAAAAAAACTTACTCCCATGAGTCACTTTTGACTAATAGCGACCCTCCTTAGGTTTTTGAGACAGTATCTCTACAGAAGTAGATTCCCCACTCTTCCTTCTGAGGAGTGGCTGGTGGGTCTGAACCTGCCATATAAATTTACATACAAAGGTAGATAGTAGAACTGTCTTTATTCATTGTCATGTATTGTCATGTCCTCTTACCTCTTTGCTTGCCATCCCTCCTTAGGTGGGTTTCCACCCATATCCTGGCATTCACTCTAAGGGGGTGGATGCCTCTTAAAGAATGGCAGGGTGTGCAGCCCAGCTTTCGGGGTTCTGAGTTGTACAGCACACTTTCTGGAAGGCTGGAAGTGAAGATCTTATGAGTAGAAGCCTCATTCTAAGGGAGAGGCATGATTCTGCTTGACACTAGAATGACAGTACAGAAAAATCCACAACTCCCAGTACTTCTGGAGTAAGGATTTCGCCTCTTGAGTATCAGGGCCCCGCTTGTCATCAAACTTTTGCTAAATAGTGGCAGTTGATAAATATAAGAAACATTAATGAATTAAATGCATTCTTTATTTTGTGACTACTATTTGCATGTTTTCGTAGTCTCTTTTTCAAATCTTTGCTTCCCTGCAACCCCCACCTCACCTTTGACAGATGGTATCCCTTCCTGGATCATTCATTTCACTTGGTATCTAGCTTAAGATTTGCTTTCACTTAGCACTTGATGGCATGAGTTTGGTTTTTTTTTTTTTGGAGTAGTTACTGATAAGGCACTAGAAGCTAAGCCTTCTCATATCTGTCACAGTATTTCCTTTTTAAAAAAAAAAAAACTCTTTTTCTGCCCTCCCCTCAACCCAAGGTAACATTGGCTCTTTCTCTCTCCTCACTTGCCATCTCCCATGGAGATGGTTGAATGTAGGAGGAAAACTAGGAGCGAGTAATGGCTCTGTGATGTCTAGTCTAGGTGACCAGTTGAATGGTTTGGGATAAAGGTGAACCAATTAGTTTTAGACACATAAGCTTCAGCTCAGGGCTTTGGGCTTTCCGGTAGGGTTTGTTCAGCCAGAGTGAAACATGATGAGGTTGCCCCAGGAGGAAAGTACAGTTGGTCCTGGAGGAGGAGGAAGCAAAGACCAGAAAAGAATCAGAGGAGAAAATCCTTAGGGATGGAGGGAAACTGAGAGAAAGTAGTTTTACAGATGCCATGAGAGAAGTTTTTTCCAAAGCAGTGTGGTCTGAGGTACTGAAGAGTGTGTAGAAGCAATAGAACTTAACAAAATGAACATTAGATCCAGGGCTTTGAAGTCAGCATGGGCAGCAGTCCTGGAGTTGCCATTGACGAGCTTAGTGACTTTGGACAATGTTCTTAACTTCACTCACCCAGTCTTTTTAAGATTGGGATGGGGGTGGGGGGTTTGCTGTGAATAGTGGTTTTCACCTGCAAGTCATTCTGAGAATGAAACGAGAAAGCTAGACAGCAGGCTGCAAGTCGGGCAGCCCTGGCCATTTGAATTCTCAGACTGCTGACATGCCAATTTTAAATGTCCCTACTTTGTGTTATTGCATGTCATAAGAATGTGGGGGCAGAGGGTCAGCCCCCACTCCATCCTGCTCAATTGCCCATAATGTTGACACCAACACCGAAATGAGGAAGAAATGCACAGGAACTGAGGCCTGGGACCTTTCAGCCCTTCCTGTACACAAATCATTTATTTGATAGTGCTCAAGCAGTTTAACAGAGTACAGAAAACTCTCCCACCACAGTCATGGAGGGGAGCAAAAGAAAAAGTTATTTTGTACTATCCTAGGACAGTTCCCATGGAGTCACATGGTGCGAGCTTGCATCTGGCATCAGGATTTACAGTGTCATATAGACAACTCCTGCCAGAGGGAGGAGGCGTGGGAGTAGAAGGACTGTCTTTGCTAATTTATGGAAACCAAGCAATCCCATGAATGAAAAGTGTTACAGAGGAAACAGTGGTTTAATGACATAGTGTATAAAGTTAAATGCATTGTAAGAAGCAGAAGTATAATTTATAAGAGGTGAAACTTTTATTCCCATAAAGGGCCAAGTTGAGCCTACCATAAAAATAGCCAAAAAATCCCCACAAAAAACTGTCGCCATTGAGTTGAGTCAATTGTGACTCATAGCGACCCAGTAGGATAGAATAGAACAACCCCATAGGATTTCCAAGACTGTAAGTCTTTGTGGAAACAGACTGCCACATCTTTCTCCCTCAGAATAGCTGGTGGATTTGAACCACTGACCTTCAGTTAGCAGCTGAGCACTTACCCATTATGCCACTAGGGTTTGTGCCATGAATCTGAAGTACCTTGAAATAGCTATGATTCTCTTACAATGAATTGAAAGATATATGGATCTTGTATGCTCTACAAATCCTACAGCACAGAGCTGAGTAATTAACAAGATTTTTTTTTCCCTGAATGTATTCAGTGAGCCTTTTAGGCATCTGTATTTAGTTTCTGTTTTCTTTCCTGGGATTTCCACTCATGTTTTAGAAAAGAACTCTTTCATTAAAAACATTGAGGATTGAGGTGAGTTAAAATTATTCAGAAAAATTAAGGTAGACTGACGTGTTAATTTGCTGAGTTTTAAAAAACATTTTTCATATTTTGTTTATATAAATTGATGATTTTTTAAATTTCTATCTCATTTAGTGGTTGGATGAACCCTGAGGTACCCAAACTTTGTTGTTTTTTTATTTATTTATTTTTTTTTGCATCTCAAGTAGGATCTCAGGCTTTGAAATTGAGTCTTTCAAGAATATGAACTATTGAGGTATTTTTAAATTATTAATTGTATTTGTATGTTATATAAGCTTAAGAGTTTATTTCATATTTAATCCCCCATGCTGACCTTTTTTTTTTCCTTTTAATTCAGAAATAGACAGCAAAAAATATTATAAGTACAGCAAGGAGAAGACACTAAAATGGCTGGAAAAAAAGGTATAGTACCTCTCTAAGTGCCTTGTGGTAAAATAAAAATTTAATGTTCCTTTTTAAAAATCTTTAGATGAGACAGTAAGTCTAAATTCAAATTTCATGTTATATATCCAACTAAAAGAAGAAGACTGTCTAGAAATATCCAGATATGAGAAGAAATCTGTTAGTTTTTATCTCCCTTAACACTCATGTATCTCTAGATGCTCTCCATTGGCTGACATCCCCATTCTGCCTTATCCTCATCTCTGAATGGAAAAATGTCTCACTCTTTGTTGGTGTAAATTTGAGCCGTCTAAGCCAGGCACTGTCTGACCTGCCTTGCATTTGCTGCTGTCCATCCTGCAGGTGTCTGAGTGATTGACATTGCCCACAGGCAGCCAGGCAGGGCTTAGATGATTTGTCTCCCAGGCCCACTGTCTGGACTCTGAAGACCTTCCAGGCTAACCATGACTGTCCTGGTGAGTCTAATTACAACCCAGTACAAGGTCTAGTGTAGGTATAGTGTTTTACAGATTGACTCAATAAGTCATAGCCAGTGTTTCTCTTGGAATGAAATGGAATAGAAAATAGAGTTTATTAAAACAGAATATATCAAAGTACATCACAGAGTAAGGGCTCTATGGTACGTGTATCATATATGTGTGTTTAAGGATTAACTTGCTGTATATTTCTTACTGTGGGCTATGGGAAAACAAAACAAAATAAAAATAAAAACACTTTGAAAGCCAAGGCAGGGCAATCTATCGCCTCAGAAATCATTACGGGGGTAGCTGTGAATCAGAATCAACTTGATGGCAGTAGGATGGATGGGATGGTCTAAGGAACAGTGTACATTCATATTGATTCATAACCTCACAAAACCAGATTGACTGATGACAAAGCCTTAGCAAGTGCAGTGGATACCAGCAGTTTCCTAACATTCTCTTACTCTGACAAGTGAAAAACATGTTTGTTTACCTTATCATGTTACTGAGCACATTGGGAGCCAGGAAACATGGGAATGAACCCTGCAGAAGTGGTCAGATTGTTAATGTACAAAATAGTGAGATTTTAAAATGCCACCATAGTTCACTTTTTGTTTATATGGTGATCGTAGTATTCTATGTAGATGAAGAGTAAGTAGGATGCTCAATGGAATGTTGGTGATTAGTTTTTGCTTTTAGAGGATGTTAATGGTATACATACAAACCTAATCAAACCTGTTACTGTTGAGTCGATCCTGACTTGTAGGACATAGTGGAACTGTCCCATAGAGTTTCCAAGGCTGTATATAAATCTTTATGGAAGCACGCTGCCACATCTTTTGATCACAGAGTGTCTTGGATTTAACCTACCAACATATTGATTAGATGCCGAGCACTTAACCACTGAGCCACCAGGGCTCCTTTATGGCATGTATAGCAAAGTGAAATTTATGTTTATTGATTGTGATTACTTTCTTAATTTCCTAGGAATGGGAAAATTATATTATTTACTCTCTTTAGAAAATTACTGTATATAGGAATAATATTTACTCTGTGCCAGATTGTGTTCTAAGGGCTTTATGTGTACTTACTCATTTAATCCTCACAACAGCCCTGTGAGGTAGGTACTGTTTTTATCCCTCTTTTACAAATAGAGGCACAGAGAGGTTAAGTAACTTGCCCAAGGTTACAGAGCAAATCCAAGCATCTAGTCCCCAGAGTCAGTGGTCTCTATTACTGTATCTCTCAGAGTATGTGGGTCTTAGGATGTACATGTGTTTCAATCAGCCAGATATATTGTTGCAACCTCTCACTTTTCCTCCAAATGTGCAGCCATTTCTCATCTTCTGATACCTGGCAAAGATGTTTCCAGGTCTTCAAATACTTCTCCCCAGATCTTAAATGGATTGAGGACCATCGAGAAAGCCATGGATTTCTAAAGTTAAGCTAGACATACCCTGATTTTGCTCTGCTGGTTACTTTGTAGGTGAACCAGACTATGGCAGCATTAAAAATCAATAAAATAAATGTTGGTGCCCGAGTCCAGTCTGCTGCATTTTGCTCAGCTGACCAGGTTTCCAGTGATGAGGAAGGTGAGTAAATTGCTTCATCAGGAATGATTTTTGCTTCAAGTAAGTTGCTTACATGTGAATGCCTCTCTCATAAGGTATAAAAATCCTTGCATCACAAAAGCTTCTTATTCCTGTCAATGTGTTCTCATAGATCTTGTGGCCAGTATGCATTTTATTTCAGATTCAAGTTCTGTTTGTACTATGGAAAGCTGAGTCACTGACTTAGACTCAACACATTCATTTAGCAACTACTCCTTTTACATTAGGACATCTTCTAATTTCACACTCCTAGTCAGTCTTCTTTTACAAACGAGTCTTAAGCCTGTGTCCAAAGAACAACCATGGCCTAATGTCACTGAAGAATTTGTATGGAAATTTGTCAAATGGGAATGTAACTTGCTGTGTACACTTTCACTAAAAATTCAATAAAATGTTATTTAAAAATTAAAAAGGAGGGACAACCCTGGCTACCATTGCATGCCAGACCCTGTGCTAAGTTGCCAGTCTACACACATCTTCTAATTTCACACTCCTAGTCAGTCTTTTACAAACGAATCTTGAGCCTGTGTCCAAAGTCACAGAGCTGCTGAATGACAAAGCTGAGCTACCAGATGGGCTTGTCTCACTCTTCCCCTTTTGTTGTACTGCTCCAAAGGCCCAGGTTTCCCGATAGGCTAAAGATATTCACGTCATGCTGGCAAGAAGCTTCTATCCTAATAAAAGTCTTGGTATTTTGATTTTGGATAAATATTGATTCACTTGCCAGATTTTTATCTTTCAGTTTACTAAGCTACATTCTTCTGCTTTTTCCTGTGGCAGCAAAACCAGACCAAACCCACTGCCATCAAGTCAGTTCCGACTCACAGAAACCCCCATTGGGTTTCCAAGACTGTAAATCTTTAAGGAAGTAGATTGCCTCATCTTCCTCCTACAGAGCAGTTGATGGGTTTCAACTGCTGACTTTCTGGTTAGCAGCCAAATGTCTTATTTTCCAGTGGAGTATCCTCTAATTTTTCTGTGTGTAAAAAACAAAACTAAACCTGTTGCCTTGAGTCACTTCTAACTCATGGCAGCCCCATGTGTTACAGAGTACAACTGCTCCATAGGGTTTTCTTGGCCATAAACTGATAACTTGTGATTCTAAGTTGACAATGACAGTGTCTTATTGAAGACTTTTTAAGATCAGGAAGTTACCAGACTACAATTATTTTCTGACTAAGACTGAGTCAACTTGTTACTTGAGCTTGAAGGCAGAGTAGAAAAGGCAAAAGGCAGCTAATGAATATCTCAGCAACAGACCAGGGGTCTGCTTTGGGTAGTTTAAATCCCTATATGATTATCCCATCTTATGATTAAGTTTGATTATCCCCTAGTATTCTACATAAAATATCAAATTAAGAACAGGGCTTTAAAACAGATTTTATTGTCTTAGCTAACTGTTTTTAATTGATGCCAGGACTGCATTTCAGTCCTGAAGTTTTTGCCAAATAATTGTCAGATCCAGATGCTTTAGAAGTAATAAATATTCTGTTCAATTAGTTTTTTGCTTTTTTCGTTTTTAAACCATTTTATTAGTTCTCGAATAGATATATTATGTTCAGGGCTCCTAACAAGCAAGTGCTTAGTAAAGACATTATATATATATTATTTCTCTTAAATGAGCATACTGATTTTTTAGATTTATTTTATGTTGAAGCAGACCTAGAAAAGATTAGCCTAAAAAGAAAAAGACATGCATGTTACAGCTGATTTTTTAATTTAATTTGTATTCAAGCCTATCAATTAGAAAGCCACCCTTGAAATTTTGTTTTTACTGTAATGGGTATGTATTGTAATTGCAAGGAGCCCTAGTGGTTGCAGTAGTTAAAACATTGGACTGCTAACCAAAAGTTGGCAGTTTGAACCCACCAGCTGCTCCATAGGAGAAAGATGAGGCAGACTGCTTCCATAAAAATCTACAGCCTTGGAAACCCTGTGGGGCAGTTCTGTTGTCCTACAGTGTCATTATAAATTGGAATTGACTCTATGGCTGTGGGTTTGGTTTTGGTTTTTGATATTATGGTTTTTGTATTATGTTGGACTTGTGTTATCTCATCATATTTGTTGTCATTAGGCCATCAAGTCAGTTTCGACGTATAGCAACCTTTTGTACAACGGAATGAAACACTGCCCTGTCATGTGCCACTCTCACCGTTGTTGGCATGCTTGAGCCCATTGTTGTAGCCACTGTGTCAATCCATCTCATTGAGCGTCTTCCCCATTTTTGCAGACAATGATTTACCAAGCACCATATCCTTTTCAGAGTCTGGTCCCTCATGATAACATGACCAAAGTATAAGAGACAAAGTCTGGACATTCTCGCGTCTAGGAGCATTACAGCTATACTTCTTCTATGATGGATTTCTTCTTCTGGCAGCCCATGGTATATTCAGTATTCTTCTCTAACACCACAGTTCTGAGTGCATCAGTTCTTCTGTGATCTTCCTTACTCTTTGTCCAGCTTTCACATGCTAGACTCTTGAAGACAGTGGTGTGGGTCAGGTGCACCTTAGTTTTTAGAGTGACCTCTTTACTCTTTAACACTTTCAAGAGGTCTTTTGGGGCCGATTTGCCTAGTGCCATACGTTGATTTCTTGACTGCTCCTTCCATGGATGTTGATGTGGATCGAAGCAAAATGAAATCCTTGACAATGTCAGTCTTTTCTCCATTTATCATAATGTTGCTTATTGGCACAATAGTGAAGATTTGTGTTATCTTGATATTGAGATGTAATCCCTACTAAAGGCTGTAGTCTTTGATCTTTATCAGTAAGTGCTTCAAGACTTCTTTGCTTTCAGTGAGCAAGGTTGTGTTGTCTGCATGTCACAGGTTGTTAATGAGTCTTCCTCTAATCCTGATGCTAAATTTTTCTTCATATAGTCCAGCTTCTTGGATTATTTGCCTGCAAATTGAATAGTATGAAAGAATACAATCCTGATACACACCATTCTTGATATTAAACTAGGCTATCCCCTTGTTCGAGAGCTCTGGTAGCGTAATGCCTAAGGTACTTTACTGCTAACCAGGAAGCTGGCAGTTCACACCCACCAGCCACTCCTCAGAAGAAAGGTTGGGCAATCTGCTTCCGTAGTGATACTGCCTCGGCAAGCTAAGGAGGGGCCGCTGTGAGTCGGGTCCGACTCAACGGCACATACCAACAACAAATCCCCTTGTTCTGTTGAAACTACAGCCTCTTGATCTGTGTTCAGGTTCCTCAAGAGCATAATTAAGTGTTCTGGAATCCCTGTTCTTTGCAATGTTATCCATAATTTGTTACGATCCACACTGTCACATGCCTTTGCATAGTCAATAAAATACAGGTAAACATCTTTCTGGTATTCTTTGCTTTCAGCCAGGATCCATCTGATATTAGCAATGTTACCATTCATTCTATGTCCTATTCTGAATCCAGCTTGAATTTCTTGGAAGTTCCCTGTCAATATACTGGTGCAACCATTTTTGAATTATCTTCAGCAAAATTTTACTTGTGTATGATATTAATTATATTGTTCAATAATTTCCACGTTCTGTTGGATCACCTGTCTTTGGAATGGGCACAAATACGGATCTCTTACAATCAGTTGGCCATTTAGCTAGCTGTCTTCCAGATTTCTTGGCATAAATGAAGTGTGTGCTTCCAGTGTAGCATTTGGCTTGTTTTTTGCCACTTCCTTCAGTGAAGCTTGGATTCTTTTCCTTTAGTACTGTTGGTTCTTGATCATATGCTACCTCCTGAAATGGTTGAACATTGACCAATTCCATCTTGGTACAGTGACTGTGTTACTTCCATCTTCTTTCGATGATTTCTGCATTGTTCACTTTTCTCCCCATAGAATCCTTCAGTTTTGCAACTCAAGGCTTGAAATTTTTTTCAGTTCTTTCAGCTTGAGAAATACCAAGCATGTTCTTCCCTTTTAGTTCTCTGACTCCAGGTCTTTGCATATTTCACTATAATACTTTACTTTGTCTTCTTGAGCTGCTCTTTGAAATCTTCTGTTCAGATCTTTTACTTCATCGTTTCTCCCATTCTCTTTAGTTACTTACTCTCTGTTCAAGAGCAAGTTTCACAGTCTATTCTGTCATCTGTTTTGGTCTTTTTCCATCATATAGCTCCTCACAACTTAGATAGATGTTGTTAGGTACCACCAAGTCAGCTACTCATAGCAACCCTCTGTACAGCAGAACAAAACACTGCCCAGTCCTGCCTCAGCCTCACAATCCTTGCTATACCTGACCCCATTGTTGCAGCCACTATGTCAGTCCATCTCATAGAGGGTCTTTCCCTTTTTTGCTGACCACTTTGCTAAGCATGATATCCTTCTCCAGGGAATAGTCCCTTCTGACAACATGACCAAAGTAGGTGAGACAAAGTCTGGCCATTCTCGCTTCCAAGGACCATTCTGGCTATACTTCTTCCAGGACAGATTTTTACAAATGAAGAAACTAAAGCTAAGAGGTTGCATAAGTTACCTAAGGCCTGATAAGACCAGAACTTGAACTCAGGTCAGTTTGAATATAAAACACTGTAATTAATACTGATGGTTTACTTCTTTCTCCATTCTGCTTTCTTTCAGAGGATTATATTCGTTATGCCCATGGTCTGATATCTGATTACATTCCTAAAGAATTAAGTGATGACTTATCTAAACACTTAAAGTAAGTGCAGTCACAATGAAGATGTACCTTTGTACTCTTGGTTTCAGTAGGGTTTCTTTGTGGCTTTTCATATCATTGCTTCTGTTTATGGGTTATTCTTGAGTTATATCATATACACTATGATTTGGAGGTGATTTTTATTGGATAGTATTCTTTGTGATAAATTGATTGGAGGATACTGATTGCAGGAACTATTGAATGTTAGAACTGGAATGCATTGATACAGTTTTAGTTTTAGAGAGTCCTTGGATGCTGAAAATCATTAACTTAACCAGCTGCTAACTTGGAGGTTGAATATTCAAGTCCACCCAGAGGCATCTTGAAAGAAAGGCCTGGTAATCCACTTCTGAAAATCAAACCCTGAAAACCCTACAGAGCACAGTTCTGCTCTGACATATGCACAGTTGCCATAAATTAGAGAGGATAATATGTGTTAATACTTCAATATGCTAACAAAGAACCAACTTAGCTAAGTATATGCTCAATTAGACTTACCTAATTTGATTATTTGTTATCATATTGAACAGAAGGAAAAATGAGAAGAAAAGAGTAGATAGCATATAGAATATTTTTGAACATTAGATTTAAAGGTTTTTTTTTACCATTTTCACTGCCATCATTAGATATTCACTGAGTGCTGCTTTCATTGTGCCAAATCCTTGGAACCCAAAGAAGTAACACTATCATGGATTGAATTGTATCCCTTAAAAATACGTGTCAACTTGGCCATGATTCTCAGTATTATGTAATTATTCTCCGTTTTGTGATCTGGTGTAATTATCTTACGTGTTATAAATCCTAATCTCTATGATATTAATGAGGCAGGGTTAGAGGCAGTGATGTTAATGAGGCAGAATACAATCTACAGGATTAGGTTGTATTTTGAGTCAATCTCTTAGATTAAACAACCTAGCAGTGATAGAGGGACCTTAGTACTACTAAGAAAGAAAAGCTTCAAGTAGAGTATGTCCTTTGTACCCCAGGCCTTATATAGAGAATCTCCTAGACCCGGGGTAAGATTGAGGCCAAGACATGTGGATTTTTAACGAATGCCAGGCCCACAGATGTTGAAAGGAAACAAAGACCTTCCTCAGAGCTGACAGAGAAAAGCCTTCATGTAAGGCTGACACTATGAATTCAGACTTCTAGTCTCCTAAACTGTGAAGAATACACTTCTGTTTGTTAAAGCCATCCACTTGTAGTATTTCTGGATACTAGATAACTAAGACAAATACAATCTCTGTCTTTGAAGGGCTTAAGAAGAGCTTTAAGATTGATTGGATTTGTGTTCCTTCCTTTATAGAGAACTTTAATATACTTTACCTTGGGTTGAAAGAGTGTATTTATTTCCTAGATATTAGGAACTGTTGTTAAGATTTTGTGTGTATAATGGTGTGATAGCTTTTTCCTGATCCTTATAAATCTTTTTCCTCCTCTGACACATTTAGATAAAATGAGTTTTTAATAGGTAGAGTTGTTCTTTTTAGTGAATTGCATAGGACCTTTTTTTAATAAAAATGGGCTATACATATTTAATGGAATGATAACAATTACAATCATGTTAAAACCAGAAATGCCAATATACAATAAATCATTCACCCTATACTTTAATATGTGCCTAGCCAATCTGACTTGTGACCACTCCCTTTCACCTCATTCCCCTCAAGCCAACTTAGCCTTTCAGATCCCATTACATACACCAAGCATGATACTATCTTCTTTGCTCTGAATGAGAAGAGACCAATAGTTGCAGCTTAGATGGCTGTTCACAAGCTTTTAAGACCGCAGTCACTACTCGCCAAAGTAGGATGCAGAACACTTTATTTGTGGACTACATTGTACCAGTTGACCTTGATGTCCCCCAAGATTATGGTCATAGAAACTTCTTTAAAAATAAATTTGTAGAAACTGGTTTCTGTAATAGTTTAAAGTGTGTTCAAATCTACCTTTCCTTCTGTTTAATATTTCCTTGGATTTCATAGCTGCTTGTCTTGTTAAAGACCTTGTGTTTTGTACTTCATTCCTTTTTCTAGATTTTGTTTTTTTCTTTTCACTGGAATTTTTAGATTTTGGTTACAGATTTAGAGGAAAAGAAATAGAGCAATGAAACTTCTCTTTAATGGGGAAAAAAAAGTAAAGTTCATGCAGTTTTTGTCAACAGTTAAAATAATTTTCATTTCATTTTTTGAATATATGCTATCACTGTCATTTATGAAGAAAAATAATCCAGTGCCAAAATGCGGATTTATGGAGGCTAAAAAAAAGCCACTGCAATTCAACAAATGGGTGCTTTTTTTTTTTTTTAAACTGACACAATTCCAATGTAAGGGAATAAGCAGCAAAATTTAGTCCTGTAAAGTACCTTCTTCTTTATATTACAGTGACTGTACGGTAAGATATATGGAGGTAAAGCTATACTATGTCTGAAGTTGTCCCAGTCTTCTGTTTGCTTGTCTGTGAAAAACCATGACTATAATTTTTATTTTTTACTCCCTCAGGCTTCCAGAACCTCCAGCTTCATTGCCAAAGCCTCCATCAAAGGTAAGAAGTTATGACTAAGATATCTTTAGGGGACTTGGAAAAATATTACATTTTTACCACATGAGACTAAGCTTGTTCTAGTTTAAGCCTCTTTGAACTAGTGGAACTAGTTTGAACAGCCAGCCTTCTGGTTAGCAGTCAAATGCCTTAGGCACTATGCTACGAGAGCTCCAGTTTAAGCATACTAAATTCACCTTGCACTGAGTGACATTATATGGAATAAGGATTGTACTGGGCTTTCCATCAATATTTTTCATTTCTATAGATTTTACCTGAGTGGTAAATAAAGTTATGAAAACCTAATATCCTAAGTATAAGTTTTAGCAATATAAATGTTTGAAAATATAGATATGTAATTGAAATTAGATCTTTAATTTACTTAATTAACTTTATGAATCAAGTGGACTGCCCTCCTTATAGCTAAAACTCATTTTGCCAAATTGAATCATTACTTGCACAAAGATACACACAATGTGATTTTTTACAACATAAAGAATCCTTTCAGCAAGGGTAGGCTTTTTTTTTCCCCCTGTATTTTAAATGACTGAGGAAATTTGTGTGTAATCTTTATCTGCTGGTTGAAAAACTTCCCTTCTTCCACACCATCACAGACTGCTATCCACAGCTACTCTGCACTGAGGGTTCCCACTTGCATTTATATCCCACATCTGGAGAATAGACAAAATCAACACTAACAACCATTTGCTTTTGAATCAACTCCAATTCATGGAGTGACCCCATATGTGTCCAAGTAGCAAGTAGAACAGTGCCCAATAGGGTTTTCAGTGGAAGTAGATTGCCAGGCTTTTCTTCCAAGGTAACTCTAAAACTAAACTCACTGCCCTTGAGTCAGATCTGACTCATAGCACCTCTTCCTTGGGTTTCTGAGGCAATATCGCTGTGGAAATAGATTGCCCAATCTTCCTTCCAAGGAGTGGCTGGTGGTTTTGAACCCCCAGCTTTTTGGTTAGCAGTCAAGTGCCTTAGGCACTGCACCACCAGAGCTCCTGAGGTAACTCTGGGTAGACTCAAACTTCCAGCCTTTTGGTTAGCAGCTAAGCCTATTAACCATTTGCACCACCTACGACTCCAGAGAATAGAGAAGCCAGTGAAACCACACTTGATTTCAAAATGGAGTGCCACTCAGCCCAGGCCAGATCTCAGATGAGTCAGTGCTGCTCAGAGACAGGGAAGTAAGCTTGTCCCCAGCTTGTCAGTGAGGGCATTCTGCTTCTTTTGTTCAGCCAGTGAAATCATGGACACCTTAAGAATGTAAAGAGGACATTCACAGATGTTCAACAGCATCCCCTTCCCCTGCATTCATCCTTCATGCATCAAGGTGGCCAATGTGCCTAAGACTTTTTATGCAGCATGTTCTGTTTGAAGGTGTTGGGCTTCCAAAGAAACTTATTACTTTGACTTTAAGAAAAGAACTGTTAAGTTTTTAAAGTGCTCCATTGTTAGTCTGGGACTAACAGACTGCAGGTTGTTAAAGGAGGCCAACTGTTTACGCTCTTAGCACAAGGACGAAATCAGACGCTATAAGATATAGTAAAACCTGTGAAAGCTGAAACTAGTGTAAGGCAGAAGCTTGTCAGAGAAGGAAAACTCAAATATCTTCCACGAAACAGAGAGCAATGGAAAAGTGACTGCACCCTGTCAAAAGTGGAAAATTTACAAGACCTGGAAAAACAAGGCAATTCTGTCAAGTTCTGACTCTCACAGGTTTTACTGTATAAGAAAGTCCTTTCTAGCTTGGACACATGAGCCTCAAGGCTAGTGATTAATTTCCAATGGTAGTACAAAAAAGCAAACCTTATGGAAATGGATTACCACACCTTTCTCCTGCAGAGCAGCTGGTGAGATTGAACTGCTGACCTTTTGGTTAGCAGCTGTGTTGAAGCACTATGCTATAAGGGCTCCTTATGGTAGCACTAAACCTGTTGCTATCAAATTGGTTCTGACTCATAGTGATCCTGTAGGACAGAGTAGAACTGCCACACAGGTTTCCAAGACTGTAAATCTTTATGGGAGTAGACTGCCACATCCTTTTCCCATGGAGCAGGAGCAGCCAGTGGTTTCAAACTGCTGACTTTTGGTCAGCAGCCAAGTGCTTAACTGTAGTACTGTCCCCCACCCCTCACCCCCCCAAAAAAAAGAACTCATTGCCATCAAGTCAGTTCCGACTCATAGCAACCCTCTTTGGATTTCTGAGGCAGTAAATCTTTACAGAAGTAGATCAGCAAGTCTTCATTTCATGGAGTGACTAGTGGGTTTGAACCATCAACCTTCTGGTTAACAGTCAAATGCCTTAGGCACTATGCTACCAGAGCACCTTTAACTGTAATACTAGGGAACCTCAAACCAAATATCCAAACAGTGCTGTAGAATTGATTCCAACTCTTGGTGACCTTATGTGTTGTGGAGTGGAACTGCCCCATAGTATTTTCTTGGCTGTGATCTTTACAGAAGCAAATTGCCAGGCCTTTCTTCTGTGACCTCTGGGTTAGTAGTTATGTGCAAACCATTTGCACAGAGACCTAATAGGGGACATAGACAAATGTAATTGTCTTGTTGTAACTAAGCAAGTAGGCACTCTGAAAATGTTTGTGTCTTTTTATATTTTTCTCCCTTTAAAAATTAAGTGTATTCCCTTCTCCCAAATATCTTTTCCTTAGTAACTTAGAGATCATTCATGAATTGATCTAAACCTAATGAAGGTTTTAACCTGTGATAATGTTAGGCAGGAAGATAGGATAGGAGGGCTGCCCTAGGGGCAGGCCTAAAGGGAGGAGAAAAGGGAGAGAGGCAGACTATTTAAGGAAGTTAATAAGGTAACACCTGCAACAGCTCACAACCACCTTTGTGACCTGGCCAATTAAAATTAAGCTGAACAACCACAGACCCAGGAATTTGAGGTTTTAGGGAATTCCCTAATTTGGGGCATGTGCAGCAGCTTCATACCCCGACCCAAAGTAACCTTATGACGTGGTCATATTACTATAACCTAATTAGCATTGCGATTACTTTTTGGCTTCAAGTCAAACAGACTGAGTTATGGGAAGGAACATGTGCAGTAGGGATATGAATATATAATCAGGGTCCTGTCATTCAAGGGTCCCAGCTCTGCCTTAAGAACACCCCTTTTAGGAAATACAAAATCAGTAAAGTTAGACAGTTTAGGATCCTTCCCAGTCGCAGGGAAAGACCCGTTTCCTCTTTGGAAATGTACTTCACTTTTAATAAAGTCTTGTATGCTTGTGTGACTGGAGCTTTGTTGAGTAAGTTTGTTAACCCACCACCAACACGACTTGCTTGAGGATCGCCCCACTTGCTCATGGATCGCCTGGGACTGCCTGCCCGCAGATCTTTACTCATGGAGATTCTTCCCGAGAGTAGGGTGAGACCCAAGAGAGGGCTTCTTCAACCAGATAACATTTTGGTGCCAAAACCTGGGACTGGAAAACAAGCAAACCTACCTAAGCAAGAGCAAGCGGAAGAAATGGGAGCAGTTGTCGTAAAAGTACAGAATGAGTGAGCTTGTGTGTTTGGTGGGGAAATGGTAGCGTGTGTGTCTGGCATCAGCTGCTTTGGAACATAGGTTATTTTACTTTCTGTGATTGCAAGTTTGGGGGTAATGGAGAAATTTAATTGAAGGATGGGTTCTCTCACTAAAGAGCAAAACCAGTGTGTTTTCTGCATGCAGGCATCAATAGTCTTGGAGGAAACAGTAAGGGAAGTAGTAACTCTGAGGGGACTAGATAGTTTACTGCATCATCTAGAAAATTGTTTTCAAATTCGTTCGTTTTCAGGATTCACGTTCAGTGAGACCAACACGGAGGGGAAGATTTATCTGATAGGAAAATTTTGTCAGCTCTGATGGCACAAGGATCTGTTAGTTAGCAGCTAGTGTTGGAGGCCAGGTCAGCAATTCCATGCTAACATTTTGGTAAATGCCAGAAGTAGAGGGTTGCATCCTACTATAGGAGAAGTGGTGGTGGGACACCAATGGTATCAGACACTGAAAAAGGCAGAAAGGAGGGAATGGTGGGCCATGTTTGACTCGGCTGGAGTAGTAATAAGGTAATACAGGGTAATAAGGCTCATTCTTGGCAGCCTCTTGGCTCACTCTTGGCAGCTTGTACCCCTCAGGATCAGGATGGAGATGCCCACCAATCCTGTTGTACATGACTGAGGCTGGGGACACTTGGCTTTCGGGCAGACCCTCCTTTTATTCTCTTTTCTGTCTCTCAGACCGACATGGGACAGGAAGTGTCTGTTCCCACCAATTCACCCCTGAGGTGCTTGCTGAGCAATTGGAAGCCTTTACCATTGGATAACCTTTTTGGGGAAGAAAGTCATATTCTTTTGCAATACTCCATGGGCCCAGTACCAGCTTGGGGACCAGGAGATCTGGCCTCAAAATGGCAGCCTAAACTATAATACCATCCTGCAGCTCGACCTGTTTTGTAACAGGGAAGGGAAGTGGACAGCGATCCCTTATATAAGTGCATTCATGTACCTTGGAGATAATCCCAAGTGGTATGAGGCCTGTGTAGAGAAGAATCCCATAAATAAGCCACTCCCAAAAAAGAAGACTTCTCTGTCTTTGTCACCACCCCTGCCTATAGGCTGGTAACAGAATATTCTATAGCCACTCCTAATCCTGGGCCCCTGATGCAGAAGACTGTTCCAACAGCCCTGGCTGGGGCCCCTATAGCAGCTGGGCTGCTGCCACTACAGGAGGTCTCAAGGCCTGAGGGACAAATGAGGGTGCAGGTCCCTTTCTCAATGGGGCACCTCAAAAGCTACAAGGAAAAGATGGGTAGCTCCCAGTTTATAGAAGAATTTGAACACATAATTCTGATACATGACCTGACTTGGAAAGACCTCTGGGTGCTCCTGTCATCCTGCTGCAACCCTGATGAGCAAAAGCCGAATAGTAGCAGCAGGGCAAGTCTATGGAGACCAAGTTCATGCCCATCAATAAGCTTTGCCTA